TCAGAATGCTGGTTACAATTCACTCAGGTGCATCTCTAGTTCATTATACCCTCACCGTAGTATTGAGTGGTTAGGATTTTTCCTAAAATTAATTATATTCAGAAATGAAGGTAACATTGTTTCAAAATAATATTGCAAACTCATATACGTTCAATGATACGTTAAATAATACGTATACATGTATACAAAACCATAATATTTGAAATTTTGAAGCAAATAAGTTGAGTGTACAAAAATTCTATAAAATCACGATAGATCGAGGATTTTTTTTTAAATTATTATACACGAAAGCATTAGCTGAAAAGTAGAATTCTGAAATTATCGGATAACACGCTATGACTGATCGTGCTGAGTGTAGGTACGAGGTATAAGCATATATATTGATATCATTCCCAGAAAAATAAAACCATGATATACAATCGAGAAACTCCCTTTCAAAAACCAAATTTGAGAATGTATGTGTAAAATGAGCGCAAATTCATGATGATGTTAAGTAGTTAAATAGGTTTAGAGCATTCAATCGCCGTAAAATTCTATAAACCCTGCTCAGCCTGAATTATAATTTTTATGCATTGCATTTAATACAATCACCTTCATTCACCGCAATGAAAATGATATTTTGGAAATATCTAAGGATATACATTTTCCAAAAATACAAATAACTTAATTTTTTTTCAATTTTCATATGAAAATAAAGATTATTGATGATGGATNACCACAACCGGTAGGCGTACCCGTTGATCGCCCTGTACCAGTTCCGGTTCCTCAACCTTACCCTGTGAACGTACCTCGTCCATATCCAGTAGCAGTACCACAACCATATCCCGTTACAGTTACCCGAACAGTACCTGTTGAGGTTCCACGTCCAGTACCAGTACCACATCCAGTTCCTTTTCCAGTATCGGTACCAAGACCAGTACCTGTTTCTGTACCCCATCCTGTAGCCGTACCTGTTCCACAGCCCTACCCTGTCGCTGTTTCAGCTCCCGTTGCTGTAGGACCTGCAGTGGGAATTGGTGGACTTGGAGGAGTTGGTAGTCTTGGAGGATTTGGTGGACCTGGAGGAGTTGGTGGATTTGGATTGGGACATGGTGGTAGTTCAGGAATCAGAGGTTCTTCTTTGGGATATGGATTGGGCGCGGCTGTTATTAGCGGTGGACACGGTTTGGGAACGGGACATGGACCTATACTATCAAAGGGTTGGTGAACAAATTTGAAGTCTCAATAATAAACTGCCATTTACTTTTGTATATAGTTGTATCAATGAATACATAGTATTTTTATAAATTATCCATTGTTTTTCATTGAGATCGCCCACAATCATTCCGCTTGGATTTTCTAGAAAGGTACAGCAATGAATAGGATACATATAAGATCTGTGAATCAGTATATTCTGACAATTATTACGGGCATTCTTCATCATAACAAATAATTTTTTTGATACAATTCACTGAAATTGACAAAAACTTGCCTTTCAAATTCATATCGGTCGCTCTACAAAACTATAGAGATTTATCTACAGAAGGTAGGGGCCCGTGAAATATTCAAACAATACATGTTCCTATCTGAGGTACTTCTTTCGCATATTAATTTTACCTGTTCTGAAATAGCTGGATAATATATTTTTTTTCTACCCACTTACTTTTATTTATAGGTAAAATTCGTAAATACGAAGTAAATTTTCGATGCGAACTTTTCAGTTTGCCCTTCAATTTGTTTAAAAAAATTGATCTTCAATACACAACTTGTCAGATTTTCGAATTTTCTCGCTTTGTTCATTTCCCAACTTTTAAGGCTGAATGAGTACTCAGAAAACTGCAAGAAACGTAGACTCTTCCGCAAAGCATGTCTTTCAAAAAATAACACTTGAGATTTTTCTAACTCTTCGCAATACTTTTTATGACTCATCAGTTACTACCGATGCAATTCGTATGGCATAAAATGAATCATCGAATGTTTTTTCGAAATCTAATATTTACTAAACATATTTTTCTATCATTGCTTGATGTTATAGTACTGGGAATCGCTCGTTGAAAGTTAAGACCTCGGTAATTTTCATCTAATACAAGTTTCAAACCCTAAGGGTTTCCGTTCGTAGAAGGCCACAGACTTTTTCAACAAATTCATCGGATATATTTCAAAACCGGGTGCTTTGTTCACTTAGTCAATCGGCCGATGTGTGAGTCAATGGTTCAAGTCCCAGGTTGAACGCTCGATTTTCACTTGCTATCATCCAACCCATGTTAGGAATCACACGCTAAAAGGTAGGACCTCGTTAGTCGGGTTGTCGTTCGTAGGGGTGCGATAGCTGGTTAACGAAAAAAACATATTTTAAACAATATTAATATAATATAACACATCTAATAACCTATTACAGGCCAGTCGACATGCAGGGAAATTAATGCATACAGGACAATTTAAAAAATCAAAGTGTGAATCGATAGTGAAATTTTGATAGTGGATTATTCATCCATTTTGTTTAGTAAATTCACAATTCTCATTGCCGGAATTTTACCGACAATCATCTATTTGCTATGTCTTCAAGGAAGTTTCTAGTGATAGTTTGTTTATCAGAAATGAAAAATATCAATTAT